GAAGCTCCTGGCCCAGCCCTGGTCATTGTGGCCAATTGGGGAGTATGCCAACTGATGGAAGACCTCTCTCTCTCTATGTCTCTACCTCTCTAACTCTGCCTTTCAGATAAAGTTAGAAGATAAAAATCTTTAAAAAAAATCCGTAGAAAACATATTTAATGGTGAGTAATATTGATAGCTCCCAGAGGTCAAAAAACAGTGTTAACTGCTGTTACTGCATTTTTACTTCAGCATTTTTCTGGAGATTCTAACCAGGCCAATAAAGCAAGAAAAGGAACAAGCATAAGGACTGAAAAGACATTTAGATGTTATTTGTATACAGTATGATTGTGGATAACAAATTCTGAAGGAGTAAAACTTAATTTAGCAAGGTCACTGAATATAAATTCAATATTCAGAAAACAAAAACAGAACAAAACCTCCTGTCATGTTATATGTACAAACACAAAATAAATGAAAATTAAAATATTACCATTTGTAATATTACCATTAAAACTATCAGATATGTAACAGAAGACTTTAGTAGTAAGGTTGTTCCATATTCAGGATTAACAGTCAAAATCTCACCCAGCCTTATTTGTGGGAACTAAGCTGATTCTGGAATTTATTTGGAAATATAAAGGCAAGGAATATCCAAGGTAGCATTGAAGAATAAGAGCATGATCTTCAATATCAGATATTATGATATATTAAAAAGCTGATTTGAAAAATAAAAAAAGGTACTGAGTCAATGTCCTGAAACTTTACTGTTTTTTTAAAAAGTTGACATTGCTACTCAGTAGAGACGATGACCTTTTACTAAATGGTGCTGGAATAAATGGATTTCTGGAACACAAAACCTTGACTCAATTCAAACCAAAGGTAAAATTAAAAATTTAATTGTGAAATTTTTTTAGATCTAATTGAGAAAAGTGAAACAATAAAGCTATTAGTTTAAAAGTAAAGAGAGTATCTTTATGACCTTGGCATAGGCATGTATGTGAGGGAACTTAAAAAATATAGCAGGGCCAGCGCTTTGGTGTAGCGGGTAAAGCCTCCACCTGTGGTGCCGACATCCCATATGGGCGCTGGTTCTAGTCCTGGCTGCTCCACTTCCGATCCAGCTCTGCTATGGCCTGGGAAAGCAGTACAAGATGGCCCAAGTCCTTGGGCCCCTGCACCACGTGGGAGACTTGGAAGAAGCTCCTGGCTCCTGGCTTCAGATCAGCCCAGCTCCAACCATTGCAGCCATTTGGGGAGTGAACCAGTGGATGGATGACTTTCTCTCCCCCCCCTCTTCAAATAAAGTAAATATTTTTTTAAAATCATAGCAAAATGGAATTAAAATATATAAAAAGTTTCTCAATATGTGCGCCATCAAATTCAGCAGTTTGTAACGGTGATATCAGCCAGGGCACAAGAGTTTTGGCACCTATCCAGAAAATTTGCTCCACTTCTTAATTTAGACTCATGTAAGCTGAATCAGTTGAGATGTTTATGGTGTTAAGTTAGGGCATAAACAAGAGTTTTCTGTCCTTGGCATACTGATGTGGATGATCTACTGCCATGGGCTTTGTCTTTAATACTGTCACATCCCTTCTTAAAATGAGTTCTATTGTTTTTTAAACTGTTAATTGCTTTGCAGCATTGTCCCCCATAAACTTTTTGTTAAGCATCAAGGATTTCACTAATTTTCTACCCATGCTTCTCCATAAATTTGATGTTTGTTCTTCAATTTTAGCAGAATTCATGTAGCTATGACAGGAACTTTTTTCAATTTGCTGTCTTATCCTACTAGATTCTGTTCTAACATAGTAAGTTTTTCTGTGCAAAAAAAATCTTTGAAATCTGAGCATAATATTTTCATAGTATGCACTTCTCATGAACTTTTTGAAGACTGTCTTCATAGTACTTAAATGAAACACAAAAAGCACTAAGGGAATTACATTTACTGCATTCAGAGTATTTACAAAGTACTTCATCAAAAGGCATCATGAAAGTGAAAAGGCAACTGACAAGAGTGAAAGTCTTTTGCAATACACATATCTAAGGAAGGACTCTTCCACAATACATAAATGAGTATAAAAAAAAGTTCCACAAAAGAAAAGGCACAAGACTAACTGGCAATCCCAAGAGTATTAAAGTAGCCAATCAAAGCTTTTTTTTAAAAGAGCACATGAAGTGGAACAACTTTGAAAACTTTTTTGGTAGCATCTACTAAATAAGCATATGTATACCTTTGATGACCAAATTTACTTACTTGGAGTATAACCATCTGCATTTATTTAGCAAGAGATGTGTAGATTGTTTTATTAAAATTTCCAAAAACCAAAACTCTACGAAACAAGTATACTCTGAGAAATATATCTCACTTCTGTTTCTCTCAGTCCATTCCTACCCATCCCTAAGAAAGTTGATTTCATTATTTATGGTAATCCGCTTTTCAAAATATAGATTATATATTTCAGTTGTATATTATATATAACCACTTGTACATATATAATTCAGCATGTGTGTATGTGTGTGTACATAAAAGAACTCGAGTTCTTAAAACCAATTTTATGTATTTCATTTGATGTTTTTCTTTATATATTAGGTTATTTGCAGTTATTTACAATTAAAAAGCACAGTACATCATGCGTACATATTTTCATATTGCTTCAGTCGTGTCCTCAAGGGAAATTTTAGGAGTGGGCTTTATTGGCCAGAAAGTAACTTTGTTAGACACCAGCATGGCCTTGAAATCAAGGCACAGAATAGATTACTCAGATGATAGGTTGTAGATCACAGCACTCTCAAAACCTCTAGGCTAAGAGGTTGGGCCATATGGCAGTTTTTTAAAATTAGATAATTTAACAGATATTAAGGTATAAGATATTACATATACTAAGAAATGGGAAGTAAATATGGATATTCTAAGAATCCCACGGAGGCTTCTACAGGTCAGTTGGTCTCCTGCATCTCTTAGAGTCCTTGACAGAGTAACAGAGAGAAGATACAGCAATTCTTACAAGAGCATGAACTCCCACTGACATAAGATTCTGGTTGATGTATGCCTACATCGTGTGAGAAATAGCACCTGCACTTTTATATTACACCTGTGGGTAGCAACTAGAAAAAGAAGGAAATAGATTTGGGGAAGGGAAAAGAAAAAGCAGAAGGTGAAACAAAAATAATTTTGCAACATTTTAGGAAGGAATAAAACTGAGTTCAGAACTTCCCACCTCATAGTGTAGTGAACAGAATGATGAGAAGGAAAGCTTGGGGATGAGGAAGTTATAAACCTTCAAGTATGGAAGGTTGAAAGGCATCAGATATCTGGGTGGAGGTTCAGACAGAAGGAATATGATGTATATTTGAATATCAATCATGCAAAACCCTCTGAGCCTCTGGTGGATAGTTTGGGAAGGAAAACTTCAAAGTTTGGGAAATCAGTTGTCCACTATCTTCTAAAGGGGACTAAGAATTAATATGATAAAATTATTTCATATATTTTGGATAAGTTATGAAGATATCAATGAAGACTTTCATTAGCTCTTGCAACCTGTATGCTACACACTTTATTATTATTATTATTACATTACTATTATTGGTCAAATATCCAAGGTTTTCAACTACAGATGTTCCTATCACAGAATTTTAGTGTAATAATTGTTTGAGGAGAGAATATTTTTAGATTCAATCTTATAGGTAAAAGATTTCACATAAGAATAATACACAATAAAGAAAAATTCTACAAGCCATGAATGATCACCATCACACGACAGCTCCTACGATGATGGATGATGTCTCATAAGATACTTGCCAGAGAATGCCCGTCCAAAGAAGGTGCTTTCTTATAAGAAAACTAGCTTTCTGGTAATATAGCCAGGATTTTGGGAAAGTGTTAGTTTTAATGTAAGCTCTTTAAGAAGACCTTTTTTGTCTCAAATCTAAACAAATTGAACTTTGAATGATTCATGTCCGTGCCTGCATACACTGTTATTATTCACAGTTGAAAGTGATGGTACCATTTTGAAGCCATTTTTCTAAATGTTCTGATATAAAAAGGTTAAGCTGCACTCATTAATTTTGTTGTATGTCAAACACAAGAAAGTGGAATTGTGGAATATAATCTAAAAATAGTATAAAAACAAGAATAGAAAATAAGTCATTCTTAGGACATTTGTCCTTAAATTTTGATTGTTTTCACTGTTGTAATAGAAGTGAGAATCATGAAGTTCTCCTTAGAAATATTAATCTTAATTTGTGATGCTACAATTCTAGTGTGGAAATAATATATGTATTTTCTTCTTTGAGAAGATATTAGAACTTTCAGTTTGAAAGAATTTACATAGAAATAAAAGTAGTTCATACAGTAGTTAAATCTCTATTTTAAACCTATCCCTAGATTATACATAACTAAGATATTAAAGTACTGTAAGTACAAGATATTTCAGTCATTTTCAATGAATTCAGTAGGAATTTTTATCTTATATTTTGTTCATTTTGTGTTTAGGATTATATAAAGCATATTTAACTCTGGAGAAAAGTTGAAACCTAACATATGAGTGTCAAAGCTGTTTGTTCTTGCTATCATATTATTACTGGTGCTTTTTCCCCCACCTTTTCAGGACAAATATTGGTGTTTGATGACTTTTAAGCATTTCATACAATTTTTGGTTGGAGTATGAAGAATATTAAAATGTCTCAAATCTGTTTTAAATTCACCACTATTCTATAAGATTCTTCTATACTGTACATTCCAATTTTCTTTATTTCTATATTTCTCCTTCATTGTGCATTGACATCAATGTAAGCTGCATGGCTTATTAAAGTTTTGAGAAAAAACAAACTTCTCCAAGAAGTCTTTTAAAGGCAAGTAAGTCTAAACCTCTCACCCTTGCTCTACTTTCAGTGAAAGTGAGCACACTTTCTTTGTTGATCCTAAGACCACCAGCCATGTCTCTTTTATGTGATATGCTGAAATCACGCAGAAAGATGAAGACATAATAATGGCTGGACACCTGTTGGGATCCATGTCCACAGAGGAATTTCAACATTTTATTGAATCTTCTATATATATGTAGGTGATGTTAAGTTTTGTAATCGATGCTGTGACTAAAAGCAATAGTACAAAGTCAAGCTTCTTAAAAAATGTTAAGTTTACCTTTACAGATATAAGAATTTTTTATAGAAAATGGCACTAACATTATAATATATTCTGCTAAACTTGCATCTGTAGTCAGCATTTTTCTTGAATATAATGTTTAACTTAAAATTCTTGTTATAATTTCTGCAATGGATATTAAAATATTTTTGCATAGGAATGTAAGTGGGAATTCAAATATTAGTACTACTATTATATACTAACATTTCATGTGCTTTCTGAATGCTTTTAGTTTGCTTTATCACAACCTTCAAACTTCCTCATAGAAATAGATTGCCAAAAATTCATTTGTATAAAAATTGTTTAATATCTTCTAACATATACAGAGCAGTTTGCATTTTAATTTTTAATACATTAGCATTGAACATGAAGACACTAGTGGGTCATGTTTGGCTTTTATTGTTGAAGGTCTACTCAAGTAGAGTAATCACAACATGGTCGTCTCGGCCTTGCCACAGCATCTCTCCCTCGAAGTCTACCAGTCCATGTTTCCTGGCACGCATGAGAATGCCCACCACTTTATCTGAAATACGAACGTATCTGTCAAAGAGTTCTCCAAAAGTCACCTGGATCTTGCCGTCTCGTCTGTGGCGAGCCATTGTGCGGATGATGAAGCACATGTCCATAATTTCCCTGTAGATGTGCTCTTCAGCTCGCTTGGCCCTCTCAGCAGTTTTGCTTCCCTCCTTCGGACGGCCATAGCCCTCATCTCCTTTGTGCAGGCGGGTGGACATGGCCAGCTGATAATCAAATTCCTCACTGAAAGGATTGAGTTTCTGGGACTGGATGTGTTCATCAGCCCACTGTTGCCATCTCCCCTTCAAGTCACCCACTTGGCTATATTTCCGTTGGGCTTTGCAGTTGAGATTCTCTGTAAATCTGTTAGCTCTAAAGGAGAGAGAAGACGAAGAATTAAGATACATTATTTTAACACCCAACTGTTGATTTCCCCTTGTGCTTCCTACGCATATGAATCTTAATGTCAGTCTTTATGTTTTGCATTATACGAGATACATAAAAAACAGAAAATAAGAAAAACACATATACGGTCCCACCATTATTCTTGGTTTGATGTATGTCCTTCTGGGTTACTTTTTCTATGAATAATGATAATGTTTTAAGCACTCTAATGGAAAAAAAATTTCCTTTCACAAAACTAATGCAAACTATTGTATGTATGTATTGAAATTGCATATTAGTAAGGTTTTAGAATTGAATCGCATCAGTGTATTAGAGAATCTACTTATATGACCTCTAAAACCAGTTATTTCCTGAAGCTTAAGGATCACACCACCACACCTGCCTTGTAACATTCAGTCGTGTAGATTTTCATGTATATAGTTTTAATGAATATGTCTGTGTGTCAGTGATGTGCCACAAACTAAAATATCTGGTTGTGCAGCCAGAAAACTTTAGCCTGCAATAGTAACTTCATTGATCTTTATGTGCTGGTGTTCTTCTAAGCACTTTTCATTAATATTCTCTACAACTACTCTAAGAAATAGGTACCAGTAGTCCCACTTAACAGATAAGGAAACAGAATAGCTAGATTAAGTAATTTTTTTTTAAGTCACAAAACTGTTAAGTGGTAAAAGTGGAAATGGAACCCAAGTGAAGTTGGATCCAGAGCCTGGTAATAGCTACTATGAATTCTTGCCCTAAATCAGTGACAGGAAAGATCCAAACACAAAACTGAGGCCAAAGTCAGTGCTCTCTCTGGTATCCTCTCTAGTGCCTCTCAGCTTGCAGGTACAGTGTCTAATACTCGCTAAGTGAATGAGCTGTGTTTCAAATGTGATTGTATCCTTGAAATTTGGAATACACATTCGTATTTAAAATCCAAAACAACGACAACAAAAACAGCTTTGGAAATTATAGAGCACTTATTGTCATTAGGTCGCAGGCCTGATTTTAAAATGGGTAAAACCTATTTTTTTTTTTTAAAGAATTCCCTGCCATTACTCTATCTGCAGTCTCCTAGTCATGCCCTAGGTCTCGTTGCCTTTGCAGGTAACTGCAGTAGAGATTGGTACTCCTCATGCTCACAAGCGGCCTACCCTCCCCTCTTCACCCCAACACCAAGTGACTTCATGCCTAGAAGCCTTGGAATTCAAGATGTTAGGTGACTGGCATGCCTGAGCTATCTGAACCCTCACAGTTTGTTACTCAAAATGGATAGGAATAGATCAGATTTGGGTATATCTCACTACCTAGTAACTTATTTCCTGAAATTTGGTTATCCAAATATAGCCACCAAACAGGTGTGGATAGGGAGGAATACATACTTGCAGTAACATTGTTTTCAAAAGAGGAATCATGTCCACTAGATGGCGAACTTTCATTAATTCTTTGAGCATTTCAGCATAAATGCTTTGTGTTTACAAAAGTCCTGCACTGCTAACGCTGTTTCACTATTACAGTGGCATTGAACTGGGGAAACAGGGCTACACATTAACATTAATATTGTTTGTAACACGTGGATAAAAGTGTATGAGAAAATAATTGGGAAAAAGCTGAATATAAGAAAAACAATTGGGATTTTATGTAGGATGGGTCTTCAAAATGTTCGTAGGAAATGCATATTATGAAAAAGTAAACACATTTTAATTCCATGTTCCTGTGCACTTTTTGAAGTACCTGGGTATGGATGAAAAAATGTTGGGAGCTTCAGTACCCTGAGATAGGACCAGTTTCTCTCAACCATAGGGGTCCTCACATCAGCTGCCTTCTCCTTTGACTGTCCCTCCTTAGCCTCCCACAATATTGATTGCTTGATCTCATTCTCAAGGAAGAACACTTTGCCCTGTTGGAACCATGGAGACCAGTGACAGGTATAGCCTTCAATAACAAACCCAGGGCCATCCTAGCAGAACCCAGATCTCATCCCCAATTTGAGGCTGAGGTGTACATCAGAGAAGACATTTGAAATATTTCAGAAGGTAGTGAATAGTGGGATTCATTAACTCCCACATATCTGATTCTGTCCTCTCATATAACATCCCTTCCATCTTCCATTAATTATGGGTGCCAGGCTCTGTTTTTTTGGTACTTAATGAATAGTTAATAATTAAAAAAAGCAAGAAAACATTCATGAAAATAAAGTAATATGATTGGAGTTCATGGCACAATTGCCAACTATATAAAACGATAAAACGTGTATGCAGGGCCAGCATCCTGGCATGGGTTAATCTGCAGTCTGAGATGCTGACATCCCACGAGTCCCTGTTCAAGACCCGGCTGCTACACTTCTGATCCCATTCCCTGCTAACACACCTGGGAAAGCAGCAGAGGATAACCGAAGTACTTGGGTCCCTGCACTCACATGGGAGACTCAGATGGAGTTCCAGGCTCCTGGTTTTGGCCTGGCCCAGCCTCAGCCATTGGTGCCATTTGGGGAGTGAACCAGCAGACGGAAGATTCTCTTTCCCTAAGTCGGCCTTTCAAATAAATAAATAAACAAACAAACAAACCAGGACCATCTAGAGTTATTTTCTGTGAACTACGTTTATCTCATACCCATTTCCCCTCTTTAGTTTTTTTTTTTTTTTAAAGATTTATTTTATTTATTTGAAAGGCAGAGCTGGCGCTGTGGCTCACTTGTTGGTACCGTGGCTCACTTGGCTAATCCTCTGCCTGCAGCGCCGGCACCCTGGCTTCTAGTCCCAGTACACTAGTCCTGGTTGCTCCTCTTCCAGTCCAGCTCTCTACTGTGGCCCGGGAGTGCAGTGGAGGATAGCCCAAGTCCTTGGACCCCGGCACCTGCATGGAAGACCAGGAGAAGCACCTGGCTGCTGGCTTCAGATCGGCGCAGCGCCTGCAAATGGCCGTAGCGGCCATTTGGGGAGTGAACCAACGGAAAAAAGGAAGACCTTTTTCTCTGTCTGTCTCTCACTGTCTGTAACTCTCTCTTTCTGTCTGTCTCTCTCTCTTTCTCTCTAACTCTGCCTGTCAAAAAAAAGTGAAAGGCAGAGTTACAGAGAGAGAAAAAGAGATCCTCCATCCACTAGTAAGTCCCCCAACTGTCATAATGGCCAGGGCTGGGCCAGGCTGGAACCAGGCATTTTTCTGGGTCTCCCGCATGAGTGACAGGGGGCCAAACACGTGGACCATCTTCCTCTGCTTTCTCAGGCTATTTGCAGGGAGCTGGATCACAGGTGGAGCAGCGGAGACTCTAAGCAGCACCCATATGGGAAGCCAGTGTTGCAGGGTGTGGCTTAGCCTATTTTAGCACAGTTCAGACCCCAATAAATCTTTAAAAATTGTATATGCACCACTGAAGAATTAGGTATCATATATATATAAACGAAAATAATATGTTGGTACTCAGATGACATTTTTTCTTATTTTTCAGAGTTTTCATATTGGTGTTGATTTTGCAATTTAAAGAAATAAAAAAATAGGAAAATACACAAATTAGCATCCAGAGGTAATTTCTTTAAACTATGTGTTATCTGGGTCTCTGGTTCTTTCATGTAGTTTTTTTTTATTCTTCTTCTATGTTTAATTACAAACAGGTTCCCTGAGTTTTGCGTCTTGATGTCATTTGGAGTAAGGATGGGATGTTGATTTGGTAATAAGTCTATAGAGAAAAAACTATTTCTCTTCTAAAGGAAGCCTATTTGAATCTTAATGTTCATTTGTTACGTTGCAATATTATAATCCCTAAAAATAGCAGGGGAGGAAAACAAAGGCATCTATCATACAAGCAAGAATTAGAAAATAGGACTATAAAAAAAAACTAGGAGGAAATAGACCTTAATAAGTGTTTAATTTTTTTCTATTTTATAAACATCCTGGTTTTAAAAATTTTTTCCATTTTTCAAAATTCTGAAAGTATCAGTTTTTTTTTTTTTTTTTTTTTTTTACAGGCAGAATGGACAGTGAGAGAGACAGAGAGAAAGGTCTTCTTTTGCCATTGGTTCACCCTCCAATGGCCGCCGCACCACGCTGATCCGATGGCAGGAGCCAGGTGCTTCTCCTGGTCTCCCATGGGGTGCAGGGCCCAAGGACCTGGGCCATCCTCCACTGCACTCCCGGGCCACAGCAGAGAGCTGGCCTGGAAGAGGGGCAACCAGGACAGAATCCGGCGCCCCGACCAGGACTAGAACCCGGTGTGCTGGCGCTGCAAGGCGGAGGATTAGCCTAGTGAGCCAAGGCGCCAGCCTGAAAGTATCAGGTTTAAGTCAGAGTTAGAAACTCTTATACGCTGAATATGCTCTTGGTTGTTTAGTAGAAGAATCAATACCACATTATCCTAGTTTGATTTTTCTTTTTAATTTTCAAGTAAAAATAATGTGAATAATCATCCAGACTAAATTTTTGAAAGGCAATCTAGTATAAATTGAGAGAAAACAAAGCTATATCCAGTCACTAACATTTTACCTTTACTTTAGGAAAGCAATACTGAATTTAGACCCATCCAATTTCTTAATTACTCAGTAAACACATTTTCATATAATCAACCAAACTATTTCCCCTGTCCTGATATGTACCAGGTTGCTAATTCCTGGCCCAGGAAGTCATTGGTTTTTTTTTTTTTTTTTTTGACAGGCAGTTAGACAATGAGAGAGAGAGACAGAGAGAGAGGTCCTCCTTTTTCCGTTGGTTCACCTCCCCACCCCAAGTGGCCGCTACGGCCAGCACGTTGCGGCTGGCGTGCTACATTGATCTGAAGCCAGGGGCCAGTGCTTCTCCTGGTCTCCCATGCGGGTGCAGGGCCCAAGGACCTGGGCCATCCTCCACTGCACTCCCAGGCCACAGCAGAGAGCTGGACTGGAAGAGAAGCAACCAGGACAGAACCGGCGCCCCAACTGGGACTAAAACCCGGGGTGCTGGCGCCGCAGGCAGAGGATTATTAGCCAAGTGAGCCGCTGCGCCAGCCTACCAGG